CACATTGATCTTTATCCTAAGAGGTTGCTATTTTCATGTAGTTCTCTTTGAACGCATTCCCTAACTTGTTCTTCATTCGCGTTGTATCTTCTTCTTCCCAAACCATACTCCTGTAATCTGGTGATGAGCGTTCTTTTACATATTTTGATATCATGATATTTTTCTAAACATTCCAGTATCGTTTTGTACTTAAAATTTCTTCCGTAGTAAAAACGGATCGCTTCCTCCATATCAATAATTTTATATTTTACTAGGCCAAAAGACAAAAATGCACTTATAAATGTATTATACTTTGCAACAATAATATTCCCCGAGCCGGTGCGGAGCACCGTGCGAGGGTACTAATTCCGCTCGGATATTTACATCCACGATGTGCAAGTGCGAAATCAAAGTCGTCCGCCATTATGCAATGGACCTCACGCCATGGACGGTCTTCTACGTTACGCGCATGCGCCAGTGTGAACTACTAAGCTCTTGATTGGTCGAGACAAAAATTTGTATTTTCAAACGTCAATGAATAACTGTCATTTAGCATAATTTTGATGAAATTTACAAATTCATATTTTCATAAATATGGAATATATGTATTTTTACTAAATTAGAGGGAAACTCGAATGAGGTCAGGACTTTTCACGGTTTAACAAATAACAAAACCAAATTTTCGACCGAATTCACCGTGTATAATGAAGTCGGAAGATTTTACACTTGATAATATTTCATCCGACATAGCTTTAAAAAGTAATTCTTTTGTGGTAAACACAACTTTAATATTCTCAAATGTATTTCACTATAAATCTGAATGTGTTATGTGATAAACGACATTATAATTTTATTTATAAATTCCGTTTTCATAATGATAAAAAGAAAAGAAAATCAAAATATTCCCGTGAAAAACCAGTCGAAGCGTAACATAAAACTTCGGAAGTTGTATGAGACGTCGGATGTTATATTTCATAGTATTTATGCGAGGGGTTGCTGCATGCATGTATTTCTAGTAATAAACTTATCCTTGTTGACTTTAAATTTGTGGTACGCTAGGTCGTTTTGGATTTGGATAAATAATTAAGAATTTGCGTTTGTGTTTTGAATTTGCGTTTGTGTTTTGAATTTGCGTTTGTGTTTTGAATTTGCGTTCGTGTTTTGAATTTGCGTTTCTGTTTTGAATTTGCGTTCGTGCTTTCATGATTTGCTTTTGTGTTTTTGAATTTGCGTTTGTGTTTCGAATTTGGGTTTGTGTTTTGAATTTGCGTTTGTGTTTTGCACCTCTGGGCCACCGTACATTAGCGATATTATGAATCTTTTTCTAGTTTTGTAACTCCTTGTTTTTTACAGGGAGAAATACTTGAGAATTCAGTGTTGCCACATTTAGACCACATTGCGAAAGATCGGGATATTTTTTTGCGGATCCGAGCTGTCCAGCTTCTGGTCGATGTTATTGCATGCTCTGATTCACCGAAAGTTTGCGATGTTTTGCATATAATCGAGAAGGTACTCAATACAATCCTTTTCAGACGGTTTCATTTCTCCACTCCAATTTGCCTCTTCATTCGTGATGAGCTGATACTGTACTTCAATAGAAAACTCTCTCTTATCAGTGAAAGCTTCCTGACCTGAACCCAACTATATATCCGCAAATTGGATCGTTTTACACGGGAGTCGTGAATGCAAACGCATCAGTGAAGTAAAAGGATATATATTTCATTTATCAATTCCAAATTTCCACTGTCCAGTAGATCCTCTCAAGCGATACGTCAAGCCGTCGTGTAAAGAACATGTAAGGTAATTATAGAGACTGCAAGGTATTTGTAGGAACATCTAGAGACACATAATTACATCTAATCACTGTAAATTGTCTTTGTTGCTGCAGCCTCAGGATGAAACAGCGTAGAAAGACATCAAAGAGGCTGCATTAGGATTAGTACAGGGAACTATTTTGGCTTCAAACTAAATAGAGATTTTTGTCAGGACTTATCGTTCCAGTTGTATAAAATGAAACTATTAACAATGAATTCCAAATCGTAATTCATCATGGTATCAATGCCCCCCCTCTCTCTTTCAAAAATTAGGCCCATATTCCATTTCTAATTTAATAAGTGGGTTCTTTATAAAGTGATAAACTAGCTAAAGCTAATGCTTCCAAACTATTTCCACATCAACATATGCCATATTTTTGTGCAGAAGGTTAGTGGTTATAAATTACATTGGAGTGAACGAAAGGTTCCAGTGACGTTAGAGGTACTATTATTGTTTTCAAGTTTCTTGATAACTTACCTGTGTCTTCATATATATATATATATATATATATATATATATATATATATATATATACAGGTGCGCTCAAAAGTTATTGGACACACAGTTTTTTGATTATTATTTTGTCTGGTGGATTTGGTCGGATAATAACAACTTATTTTAACACAGAATTTGAAATAAAATATTTTAGTATTCAAAAGAGCACTCGTGCGTGCCAGCGAGCGCGATAGATTTAAAACAGCTCCCCAGCACAGACGAGACCTAATAGCAGACGGCACACGAGTGTCTGTATCAACAATAAAGAGACGTTCGAAAGAAGGTAATATGAATGGACGAGTACCAAGAAAGAAACCATTGATAAGTTAAGTCAATGTGCTGGCCCGTCTAAAATATGCGTTAGCGAAGAGACATTGGACAGCTGATCAGTGGTTAAAAGTGATGTGGTCTGACGAAAGTACATTTAATCTTTTTCCCAATTGTGGTAAAGTGTATGTGCGGCGGCGACCTGGCAAAAAGTTCCAACGCAAATGTCTTAAACCCACTGTCAAACACGGAGGTGGAGGTATCATGGTTTGGGGCTGTGTTAGCGGGGCTGGTATGGGCAAAATAAAAAGGTTGGAAGGAAAAGTAGATGCTGAAGACTATTATCGCATACTACGTCACGAAATGGCGCCCACTATGAAACTCCAAGGTGGCCGGCAGTCTTTCGTTTTTATGCAAGACAATGCCTCCATGCATACAGCTAAGAAGAATCTAATGTTCCTTGAGCGAAATAACTGTGACTTGCTGGACCATCCTGCCCAATCACCTGACTTAAATCCATTGGAGAATATTTGGTGGGCAATAGAACCTCTTCCTTCTAATGCAAATGATTTGTTCGAGAAAATTCAGCAAATTTGGAATAACTATCCCAACGATAAAACTGATTAGATACATAGAATCAATGCCCAGTCGTATAGAGGCAGTTATTCAGGCCAAAGGATGTCATACCAAGTACTGATTTGGCGTGAAAAAGGTTGTTTTGTGATGTGTGATGTGCTACTGATAATTGTGCAATTTGCATAAATGACAAGGCTATATAGTATGTAGCTCGTAAATGTTGTATTAAAGCATAAACTTTTGAATACTAAAATATTTTATTTAAAATTCTGTGCTAAAATAAGTTGTTATTATCCGACCAAATCCTCGCCAGACAAAAAAAAATCAAAAAACTGTGTGTCCAATAACTTTTGAGCGCACCTGTATATACTTGATATTGCCAGACATTTGAATAATTGAGATTTGAATAATTCAACTCAGGCTTTCATTCCATTTCTATCCTTAGGTCTCAGATTATCCTAGGAGATTTGTTGTTGTCTGTGGTGGTTTTAGCACAATGGTATGTACCAGATGTTGCTAGTACCAGCCATATAATAACCAAAGGATAAGATACCGGTTATTTCTGTAAATTGAAGTTTTACATTTTGTGCACAATTTTGCTTTTGTTTTCCGGCATCTTTTCGCATCAGAGAGGGAGAGGAATTGCTGAAAAAGATGATGGAATCTTCTTTCAATAATGTTGGTGTTACGATAAGATATGTGAACATTTTAAGTAAACAAATTTTAAGTAAATGACAAAATGACTTATATTCAGGTTACTTTATTTGTTTACGTTTTAACCGTTTTTGACAAAATTTTTTCCAGGTCTGTAATTTACTTTGAGCTGTATTTGTTATTTCTTTTGCCTCGGTTTTAGGCAGAGGAAAAGTTCCATCAAAGTGGAGTTGTTTTTTAAAACAAATTTGGAAAATACAGTTGAGTGATATATTATTAAGACAGTATTTCGTTTGTCCTGTGTAAAGAATGTGATATATGACAGTAAATGACAAATTTTTCGTTTCAGTGATGACGAACATATCACATCAATGTCAGAATTCAGCGTCTATAAAGAAACTCCTCGGAGTAAAGTGAGTTATGTTGTTAATAAAATTCTTCTAAGAGTCTATCCTTTTTCTCATTTTAAAATCGTTTTGACACTCTCAAATTTAGGATCCTGTTCAAAGAACGCTGTGTTTCTTTTCTTAGAAACGTACAATATCGTCACCCTTCATCCCCTTAGCTCATTAAGTCATGCGACATTCCATGTCAGTTCCAGTAATTGTTCATCTCTGACCTTGAAAGAAAACACTCCAAACACTCCATGTCTTCTGACCTGGATTCAAGTTTACTGCTTTTATCGTGTTTTTTATTTCACGTTTCCATTTTGAACATGTCCAATTGCAAAAAAGTATCCAGCCGAGTTAAAACAGTTTTATTTTTGCAGTTACTTTCCAGAATATACCGTATATACCGTATAGTAAATCATAGTTTTCAAACTTCTTTTTCTGTCAGATATTTTCAATAATTCGCTATCGAAACCATCCTCAGTTGTTGGGGCGGAATACACAAGCGGTCGGCTGAGAAATTACTCGTCTCCTGACAGGTAGTGTAAGAAAGCAAATTTTGTATGAAAAAATATTTCTTGTTTTGAATGTTTGTATTTCACTCAATCTAGGGGTACATTATTGGCTGGTTTGCTAGACGGTGTTAGAGCCAGTTGAAACAGAGATGTTTGCGTAAAAACGACCACAACGAAGAGAAATACTGCACGCTTATTCATAGATGATTGAGCGAAAATTATGGTCAAAATTATCCTGATGAACATCTCGTACTGCTATGATTACCCTAAATACGATCCCTCATTTCATTCTCCTGCTGACGTGTGTGATCTCATATAACACACCAACAATTACACTTCTCGTCAGGTATCAGCCAATAGCATTATTCCTATCAGCCAGTTCAATACATCACATACAGCAAAAGAAGAATTGTTCTTTTAAGATGATATATTTTTCAAGGTTATCGTTGGGGTCCATTGTATAATGTTGTTGACGAAGAAGTAGAAAACAGTCATTTAAATTCCTCGCTGCGTCTCCAGGTGAAATATTTCTCTTTTTATTTCACTTTTAAATTTTAGAAATATCTCCAAAAGCTTATATTGTCTTATGACTGGTTCCTTGCAGGAAATTTAACCGAAGCTGTGTACAGATTTAACTGCAATATTTCCTACTGCGGTCTACTTCATGCAGTCACCCAAGACGTAAGTTGACAACTTCTTATCTTGTACTTTTCTGCAGACAAAATCCTGTGTAGAGAATATTATTGCCTTTTTATTGAGTTTTAATGTTCTGTGAAAATCTGGATTAAGGCTGTTTTCCACTCACGTGTTTTTCATACGCACGTACACGCACGTAAAAATCTAAATCCTTATACATGTTACCTTTGAAAAAACTAAGTGAATAAATCGACCTAGATGCACGTTAATTAATAAAAATTTAAAAGCATTTAAAATTCTCCGTATGTGTACATGCGTATAAAAAACGCGTAAGTAGAAAGCAGCCTTTAGTGTAAACTAAACGATTGCTAGGCTGCATAGCTACGTTAAATGAAAACATTTGCCCATTTCGGCTGCTAATTGAAAACATTTAGCAAGGTTTAAAACGTCTCCAAACAACACGGTACATTTAAACTGGTTTATCCAGTATAGCCAAAGGCAAAGAGTATGGCTTTAATAAAAATACCCTATCCTGCTACAGTTCTGTGCACAAATGTACACAAAACACTAATAGTACTCCCTAAAAACCGCCGTAACTCCAGCCTAGTCCCAGGCCTTTCATTGCGCGTGTTTTATATTTCCGTCACGTCACCGAATGAAACGCGCGCGAGAGGCCTAACACAAAATATTTTCTAATCTTAACGGCCCGCTTAATGTTGTGAACTTGAAATTAGAATTTTTATTAAAGTTAATGTTTGCAATTTACAACAGTAACCGTTATAAAGGAAGCGAGAATAATTTAAATTGGTGGATTGAAGTTTATTATAATCATAAACATGTACGTACGGACTCGAGTTTACTTGATAATCGATGGCGTTGACGGCGAGCGACATTGAAACGTTTGTATGAATATTTCGACTCCTGGCAGTATAATTAATATGCCGTAGCTTATTTCAAGCAAATGTTTGACTAACGACGTCGAACAAGGCCAGTTAACCGCGTCGTAGATGGTAAACTGACCTCAATACGGAAAGTGGGGACAAAAAGTCCCCACTTTAGCGAAAATACAAAACATTTTGTTCTAGGCCTCTCAGTTCCCGCCTCGACGCGTATAAGGAACGTTAAGAAGCCTAGGGACTAGGCTGCGGTAACTCTGGTGGCTGAGTTGACTGGGTACGAATTCATGAAATGGTAGTTTTGAAATTTTCCCGCCAGAAGTACGACTGGAATATTAAGTCTTTTAAACTCCAATATATATTTCAAACGATTTTAAATATTTTGTTGGGACTTTTCTCGTAGAATAAAGAAAGACTTATCATTAATGCCATCACAATGCTCATTGCTCACGAAGGTATTGTATATCTTTGCCAATAAATTTAATTAGTGTTCAACCCTACAATATACATATTCTGACTGCTATTACTTTCACAGGTGTTCTATATATACTTAAAATAGTTAAAAAGTTTCGTCTATTTGCAGCAGACCAAAACAAAATATGAGAAAAAGATCTCGAAGCACTGTTTCACGATTTGAGAAGTTGGGTTTGATCCAAAGCAGGTTTTGCGCTTTCACAACGCTCACTAGGTGAAAAACGTTTATCTTTAACCACAGCACACGCTGTTTACTCAACCAGTTCACTTGCGTGAGAAGGTTGGTGTGAAAACTGTGAAAGCTTTGAAGAGGAATAGTGAAGCCGTGACTCACGCCGCTGTCGACATGTTGTGGTCTCTGATGTAGGTAAAGACAGGGCTTTCCTTTAAGCGGCCAAAATGGTCAGACCGGACATATTTAAATTTAAAATAGAGTATTTCGTTAAGAATATAGCGGCGAAATTTCCGAGCTAAATAGATGCAAGTAATGAAATACGTAAACTCAGCCAACTTTGAAATTTGCATGTTAACAGGATCCAATTTTATCGAAACCAACTCTGTTGTTTTATATAGCCAACGCACGATAACTATGACATTCGAGAGGAACAGATAAACAAAAGCTCTCTGTTATCCTGTGAAAAATTTCTAAGCAGTTTGTTGGGAATTCTCACGATAAATGTGGTAAGATGTGCGGTGTTGGTTGCCTATAATCTATGCTGAACCCATGCATTTTATTTTTCCATCCCTCTTGTATGTATATAGCCTTGTTTTGGAAGAGAAATTCCCTTGCAAAACTCAGCAAGTGATTTGTAGCAACTGCCTTTCTAATTTGGACTACCTTTCTAATTAACACAAGAAATAGATTAACCATGAAAACTTTTCTTCTAGAATCGTTCTTCTGGGGTTTTAGGTATAAGTGGATTGCTTGATTTTCTGACGTTTGCTCTGTGTCCTTCTTACAGGTAAAGTTCTGGTTGCTTTGCAATATATCAAACTGATGAGAAGAAATTTGAGGAGCTTTCATTCAACTTGCCTTCTTGGTAGTTTATGGCTCTTTGACTGACGTTGATAGTTGATTAAATTGCCTTTCTCTCTTTACATTTTTGGTGAAGTTTACCACGTCCACTAGCTTGACCCATGCCTGGGAGCAACTCATGAAGTCTGTTATTTGTTTGTCTAGAAATGGGTCATTGCACTTATCGATTGTTTCAGGTAGGTTTACGATAAAACTGCAATAAATAGTACCAATTGTACCATTTCTTCGCTTATGTATGTTTTACTATTGCCCCGCTAATGGTTCTTACCAATCGTGGTTTTGAATTCGTTCCTCAACAATTTCAGCATCCGTCGACAACAATTGTGAAAGGTGCTGGCATGGTTCTGAAGGCGATAATCGAGGTAATTTTATTCATTCATTCCTCCATTGAGAATTTTCTGCTTTTGACAAACGTCATTTATAACGTTCTGCATTTTTTTAGCAGTGATGAATGTACATATTAGTTCAGTTGATATTTAAAAGGTATTAAAGGGTCTTAATTTCGAAAGGTATTATACACACTTCAAATTCAAGCCAGGAACAGTTGATGGAAAAATGAGTCAACTATAGATCCTCCGGCAGGAATCGCTTTTGCGATACCGGTGCAATGCTCTTGTCACTGAGAACGTATAGTTGACTCATTTTTCCATCAACTGTTCCTGGCTTGAATTTGAAGTGTGTATAATAAAACCACTCGAAATTAAGACCCTTTAAAACTCGAATTAGTGTGATATATTAACAAATTGTTGCAGATGTATAGCCTCGATTCCATCCGGAGGACCTGAGTTGTATTTTAGCATTATTCTTAGATTCATCTTAAAACTTGTGATTTTATAATCCTCTATATACTAGCCATCTATAAATAGTTCAATTGAGACTAACAAGCATACTCCATCAGTAATTTATAATCTTTATTGTTAGCATATAGGCAATTGAGTGGACATCTTGTGGCTCTCTGGACAACTGGTCGTCCAACAGCAATGGCATTACTTGTGAGAATAATGTTCGTAATAAAGTAGTTATAGTTTTTAATGTCTAAAATATACAAAAAAGTTTAAATGCGAGATTTCCTGTTCGTAAGTTTTGGTTCATAAACAATTATGTAATAAAGTTGAATACGATTTTCACAGCCTGCTGGTTTGCTCTATTACCTTGAAAGCCCTGACGAGGTAGGAAATCTTTGAGAATTTTTTGCGAGGGCCATTATTTACATAAACCCATTGCAGTGATTCTGACTAACCAATCATAATAGTGACTAAGTGGTATCAACTGCTTTGGTAATTAAACTCCATCATTCATCCTTAAACTGTGCCAACTGCCCCACTGACGAAATAACTAAATGGTAATTCATTCAGAAGTGTAAAACCTTTTTGTAAAGAAACAATTTTGTTGGAAAGTTTTTATCTTTCCTTCAGCCACCAGAGACTAAAGAAGATCATTTATCAATTCGTGACAATGTAAAGCTTGCAGAGTACGTTTTAAATCAACAATCGTGTTCCAAAATTTCATAATGCATGCTTGTAGGTACGTATAAGCCTGTTATTTCACGTGTATACTTGTCTGTTAGAGCTCTGGAAAAGCGAGAGGAACGTCAAGGAATCAACTTGAAGGATATCTCTCGCATTGGAAGACAAAAATAGGATTCAAATCCAGGAAAGATGTGAGAATTTAAATCCAGTTGTTTTATTACAAGTAAGTGTTCATATTAAGAAAATGGGAAAATGTTCTAGTCGTTTGAAAGATGAAAAAGCAATGGTATTTAAACGGATCTTTTTTACGGATTCAGTCAAGATCTGAAAGCGTACAACCTGATTTGGAATTACAAGGTGAGCCTCGAACTTAAAGTTAGTTTCCATTGAAAATATAGGAAATTAACAGGTAATGGGGGATTTCCTGTCGCTATGAGTATAACAAGACAAATTCAATAGTCCTGACCTCTTTCTCTAAACTGTTCTCGTAAAAGAGTATGAAACAATTTCTTTTGTTTTCAATGTGACAGACACGAGAGGAACTTCTGGGGCTCTCGAATCTGAGATGCGCAAATTTGCAATGGAAAAAGATCTGAGTGGAAACTACGTTGTTTTTGGAATCACCTTTAGTTTGAAGTCCTGTATGAATGTTTAGCTGATCAACTGAAAATAGGTTAGTGATAATCCTTATACTGCTCTAGCTTTTTAACAGTTCTTCTTAAAGCGTCCCCCCTATCCCTTGATAGCAATCAAACTCAGTAACGTATCTCTCCTATCAGGCGACTATTATTTGAGAGTCTTGTTGGAACAAAACGACGGGGAGACGCTGATAACAAATGTGTGAGTCCACGACATTTATCTATCAGGATTTGCAAATATTCAAACTACTGTCTTGTTTCCCGCTGCATAAAAACGATTCCAGATACCTAATATATAATATACCTCAGAGTCCTATTCTCTATATTGCTGCACAGTTCACACAATGTTATTTGTCCTGCAGTATGTAGTAGAGAAGTATAGAATTATGGATGAAACAATTCACGATTCGATCGACTTTTCTATTTTGTTTTCAGGCTCGAGTTGTTTAACGATATGTACCACAGATTCCGATTGACAACTAAACCAACTATGAAAGCAATGCGCCTTCAGGTGAGGATGTCGTTTAGCGAGAGTCTAGCCATGTGTAGACTTCGAAGAATGAATGAAACAAGTCGGAATATTTTATTCACAGGCGATGACTAAAGTTTATGGAAAATGTCAGGAAGAGATTGGCGCTTTTAATGACACCAAGCTAAGGATCATCTGTTATTGATCCAGTGTTACTACAGGAGCCTGAACTAAACTAACTTTATTCATACTGTTTCGTATATTTGGCACTTACATGAAAATGGCATCACCCACAGGGATTGGAAGGTAAGCGCGCACTTATTTATTTATCACTACTGTCTTTATATCCTAATCTTTAACGACCATAATTTAACTTTTTCTTCTCTTGCCAGAAAATGTTTTATTGTGTTCCTCGTATGACGAAACGCTTATAAAGGTTTGTGTCGGTTGTGTATTGAACTTAATCTCAATTCCGAGTTTTGTCCGTGATTTCGTTTCACGAAAGCAGAGCGCATTCTGCGAACGTTTTTTGCGTACATGGTGAAGACTAGCCGACGGTCATGTTCGACAGACGAGTTTCTGCGAGCAAATAAAATACTCAGTTGCGTAGCCAACACGACAATTTAGTCATGCTCTGCTAATATTTTGGAGTTCATTCACTGTGAAAACAATGAATTTCTAAAGAAATTAATGTGATAATAACATAAATTTTGCATAGCATGACTGAAAATGCTTCATGTAAGATCAGGTCGAAGGAATATGCATCCTCATTGACGCACGTGGTGGGTTAAAAACGCGCTAGTTGTTCCGATAAATTAAAGAACAGTTCCATACCTATACTTTTGTACGTGTGAAACTTTTCGCTTGATTTTCTTTTAATTGTGAGAATCCGACCGTGTAGCAAACATTAAAATCAAGCGATAACACTAAACTTGATTGTGATAGCCCTGAGTATATGCCGCTATAATAGCTTTGTTCCTCATAATGATATGCTGGATTCCCCGTCCAGGTATCACTTCTAAAACACGCCTTATTTTTACTTGTATTCCAATGCACGTAAGTTAGTAAAAAACCTGACTAACCCGCTGGAGGGGTAAGAATGGAAAAATAGAAAAAAATTCATCGTGTAAACAATTTTTTTCTAAATCAAAAACTCACTCTTACATAACCCACTTATTGAAATATTTTCGCTATATATTTCAGTCAGATGCATCTCTCAGTCATTTGTCATTCCTTAGTGAACAAATAGTGTTTCAGTGAATTGCTAGAACATACCTGAAGAACAGCTATAAACTTCAATTCTCAAAGATATGTTCGTACCATGTCTTTGGATGAATGCGGATGTAAAGCGCGGTTACAGTTGGTGATAGGACATTTGATAGGACACCCACTGGTGAGTCTCTAATGAAATGAGTAATTTGTTAAACAATTAATCTTAATCACACATTAAAAGTTATATATGACCGCATGGAAATGATGTGATGCATATAACGTGAGAGGGTAATCTGTAGGAGCCTTGCTTATTAATCCAGCTAACCCGGACTAATCCATTTATTTTGTAATGAGCGAATTTTTGCCCGTCAGAACTATAGGATACAGAGTAGGTCTTCACCCACTAATTATAATTACGGCGACTTTGAGTGAAATCGTACCGACAGCATCTTTCTTGCCGAAGTCAATTTGAATGCATTGGTCCTGGTAATTTTTCCGTGCAGATCAAGAAGCAGCCTCATTTAAGCGACCATGTCCTGTCGACTTATCCGCATTCCCAACACTTGTTGCTATTATCTGGGATGTTATGTGTCTTCAGTACGAGGGGCAATAATTAGTATCAACTATTCTATCTTCCGGCACCAAAACACCATCGAAACAATCATCAACAAAAATGAAACGATAATGCAGATAATTGTGCCAATATATGGGGCCTCCAGAATTGAAACCAGTCGCGGTACAGCGTTATTTCAATTGATTTTCTGAAATCTTTACTAGGGGTTAACTTCGAATTTTATCACATTCCCATGTAGGGGAATTACTGAATAAAAAAATAATGTCCAACAGTCTGAATATGACATAATAATAAACTGAACATATACCATGTAGCCTGCAATATTTACCTTGCTTGGTATGTCAGTCCATCAAATCCATGTATGGCACAGCGATGGATGGAGGTGTAGTCAGTGATAAGAGAAAGGTAATAATTGTTAGCGACTCCTGAGTTGCCATAATTTATTTGATCTAAAATTGAGAAACAAGGAACAGGTAAATTAATATATTATTGTCCATAGTTGCGAGGTTATCAGCATTGTGACATCCCAGGTTCGTGCGTACCGCTACCGTGGGACAACATTCCTTAGCGAGCAATAATATTTCAGTGAATTGCTAGAACATACCTGAAGAACCGACATAAACTTCAATTCTCAAAGATATGTTGCCATACTAATTCGGCTCTATATGCAATAGAATCTACAATTGAGATTACAAGAACATCACTTTCACACAATTGAAACTATAATTGTATATGAATCACAAGGCCCTATACTGTATAGTAACAGCATGTATTTTGTGACTTCTATAACAAAAAGAATAACCGAACAAAATGGAGGTGTTTTCTATTCATATTCACTAATACCCCCAACCCCTGTATATTGGTAATGGCAATTACATAATAGGAAAGGGAAAAATAAATCTATTTTTAATAACACCAGTGTAAAATGAATGACATATGGAACTATACAGCAAAATATTGTGTAGGCATAATTCTTGTCATGCCTTCCATCACCAGATATCATGAAATTATCTTGGTTTTTTAATGTTTAAATTAATCCGTTTAATTTAAAAAGCACAAAAATACCACCAAAATATAGCTGAAGAAAAATACTTTAACCCAATCGCTTCTGTTTTAATCCAGAAATTAATCAATATTGCTGTTAACCTGACACTGCAGTGCAGCTCTAAAAATCATATCAAATTACACGGATTACAAACGGAAATATAACTCGCCTTTGGAATTTCGTTATTTTCTTCGTTATTTTTATCCTGTCGTCTTTTAACCGTTACATGTAAACTGTAAAGGCTTTAGTTATCTTTTCTGATAGTTTTTAAGTCAGGATGGGCAGAAAAACTCGAAAAATATATTTTTTTTATTTGTTATTGTGTATAGCGAGGCGTTGCTCAGCCGCACGCACATGTGGTTGTCACGTAAGTTTAGAGGTGTCAAAAACGTAAGGTTGCCTACCCCGTGGGGGTAAAATAAGCCCGGTAATCGATTTACGGGGTAAAATTATCCCTAGAAGTCATAATTGTAAATTTTCGCCAATATGGTGATAATTATATGCACATTTTCCAGTTTCCATTTGTAAACACGTTTGTTGGAAATATCACTACAAATCGCCAAAGCGACTGTATTTCAAGTAAAATAGATGAAAATATTGATCCCAATGTATACTAGAAATATTTGGAGGTTTTTAGGCGAGATTTTTGGAAGGCTTTGTGTATTTTCGCTTCTCTAAAATTCAACTTAAAAAGTACAAGTTCGGCAATAAATATCTTGGCTTATAAGAAAGCTTTTGAAATGAACTAAAGTTATATAGGTAAATGTTTTTTCTTTGAGATAACACAATTTCTAGTTGATTTGATAAAATACTTCCAGATAAAATCGAAATTATCTGTGTGCGCCGTTTACGAGCAGACAGCAATGAGTTTAGTAGTCTCATATTTACTGAAATGGGTGAAGTATTCGCACAGTAATCACAATTTTAAATCAGCTTACCACTTTGAAATATCCTCTGATCGGACGTCTAACTGAGAGGATCCCTTAAACATCGAGAATACTTCATTAACAAGTGCCGCATCCTGTCCTGTTTGAGAAGTTACGAGAA